GAGTTCAGCCCCACCTACAGCAGCTTCTCCCTGCGTGCTCCGCAAACTGGCCCTGGCTGTGGAGATGGGCACTGTGGACTGCGGCTGGGAAGCAGAAAGACCTCTTTCCTCCTGGCGGGGGAGGGCACCGGCGTCGCTGCCCTGTGACCCTTGCCATTCCCCCAAGAGCTGAGGAGCTTGAGAGTAAAGCTTCTGGGAGCTAGAGGGCGTCACCTACAAATATGAACCTTCAAAGGAACCTGGTAACTGGACTCATCAATCTTCCTGAAAGAGATCTCAAAATAAACATCAGGAGCATGCTCATGGAGCTACAGAAAAAAACTGACCCTCTCTCTTGAGCGCAATTCTCTCTCTCTCTCTACCAGGAGCACTGCTGAGGCCCTGTTTCAAGAGGGATGCTGGGACAGCCCAGCAGGAATGGCAGAGCTCTCAGGTCCACCCCGGCTGGTGCCAGGACAGTCCCACACGGGCTCTGACTGAACTGCAAATGGGGGATGCCGGACATCTAACTCTGCAGGAAAGACAACAGTGCTGCATGCTAGCCTTCCCATTAATGGCTAGTGGCTACTTGCTCCACCGATACCAGATGACGTCAATACCCTGGGCTTTATCTCCTTGGTAACTTTTTTTCCCTGTGACCCTTGAAAGCAGCACATGGAAAGATACAACCTACCAGTCTCCACACCATCTCACTTCTCAGCTTAAGCTCAATGTTCCCGTATCACATCTTCTCCTCTTCGTTCCAGTTTCTTCCGTTGGTTGGTGTTCTGGAAAAAAAAAATAAGTCAGAATTGGAATGAAATGGCCTGGGGTGTAAGATTCTGTTTGAACACCATTAGTAGAAGAAAACCACATCCTATGGATGGGAGAATATATTCATAGATGACATATCCGATAAGGGGTTGCCATCCAAAATATGTATTAAGAGCTCACGCACCTCAACACACAAAAAGCAAATAATCCAATTACAAAATGGGCAGAGGATCTGAACAGACACTTCTCCAAAGAAGCAATTCAGGTGGCCGACAGGCAAATGAAAAGATCCTCCACATCGCTAATCATCAGAGAACTGCACATTAAAACCACAATGAGTTATCACCTCACACCAGTTAGGATGGCCACCATTCAAAAGACTGGCAACAGATGTTAGCGAGGGTGTGTTGAAAAGGGAACCCTCCCACACTGCTGGTGGGAATGCCAAATAGTTCAACCATTGTGGAAAGCAGTATGGAGGTTCCCCAGAAAACCAAAAAACAGAAATACCATTTGACCCAGGAATTCCTCTCCTAGGAATTTACCCTAAGAATGCAGGAGCCCACGTTGAAAGAGACATATGCACCCCTATATTTATTAAGAAATGGAAGCAACCTAAGTGTCCATCAGTAGATGAATGGATAAAAAAGTTGGTACATATACACAATCGAATATCATTCAGCCATAAGAAGAAAACAAATCTTACCACCATTTGCAACAACATGGATGGAGCTAGAGGGTGTTATGCTCAGTGAAATAAGCCAGGTGGAGAAAGACAAGTATGGAATGATTTCACTCCTCTGTGGAGTATAAGAACAAAGCAAAAATGGAAGGAACAAAACAGCAGCAGACTCACAGAACCCAAGAATGGACTAACAGTTACCAAAGGGAAAGGGACTTGGGAAGATGGGTGGGAAGGGAGGGAGAAGGGGGAAAAGTGGGCATTATGATTACCACATATAATGTGTGTGTGTTGGGTGTGGGGTGACAGCACAGGGAAGGCAGTACAACACAGAGAAGACAATTGGTGATTCTATAGCATCTTACTACACTGATGGACCGTGACTGTAATGGGGTATGGGGTGGGGACTTGATAATGGGGGGGAGTCTAGTAACCACAATGTTGCTCATGTAATTGTACACTAATGGTAACAACAAAAAAAATCAAGAGCTATCACCTCACACCAGTCAGAATGGCTAGTATCCAAAAAACAAGAAGTAACAAGCATTTATGAGGATGTGGAAAAAAGGGAACTGTCATGCACTGTTGGTGACCATGTAAATTGGTACAGCTACTATGGAAAACAGTGTGGAGGTTCCTAAAAATATTCATAGCAGTATCATATGACCGAGCATTCTTTTTCATACACAGCAGTGTAACTCCTTTCAGGATACCGGACCTGTTTCCAATGCATACAACACCAAGCAATTCTCGAACACCAGCAGGGTGTCTGAGAACTCAATTCTGAGGCTACCTGCCTGGAGACAACACCAGATTCCACAGGGTAAGGTTTCTATCCTCAAGACTGCCCTCTACCCCAACTCCAGAGCCTGGTTGCAAGCCCCATGCAATTAGCCTGTGCTTCCCACCTACAGGCTAAGATTGGAGGTTCCAACGACCTCCCCCTTAGGTCTGCCCAAGTTGCTAGGGTGCCTCAGAAGCTCAGGGAACACGTTTACCAGTTCAACAAAGAGTACCATAGGCACACAACAGCCAGATGAACACACACATATGGCAAGGTCCCAAATAAAAGAGCTTCTATCCTCCTGGTGCTTGGGGCCTGGCATGGTGGCATGTGCAGGCGACCTGGTTCCCCAAGCATGGAAGTCCTGACAGAGAAGCAGGAGATGAGAGAGATGTGCTCTTCTCACAGGGTTTTGTGAGGGCTTCACTGCTTAGTCATGACTGACTAAATCACTGGCCATTGCTGATTCAACCTCCAGCCCTCATCCCTTTCCTCTTCCCTGGGGGCTGAAGGCTGAGAGTTCCCATCCTCTAATCGCAAGCTTGGTGCCCCTGGCAACCAGCCTCTACCCTAGGCTGGGGCCCCAAAGCCTCTGCATTAACCCAACAAGACACCCATTGGACAGTTATGGCTCAGAAGGATTTTCAGGAACTGGATGAGGAGCAAAAATACCTCGGAAATGTATTTTGGTCAACTGAATTACCAAATATATGCTTCTTATGAATTATATCACAACAGGTGTCCCTACATACCAATAATGTCTGCAGGGACCTCTCTCTCCCCAAGAGGAAGCACAGAGCTCCCCACTTTCACCATAATTTCCTTCCTAGTCATGACACTGATCTGCAAGAAAGACAATCCCTTTCAGGAGGATAAAGTCAAGGCTTCCAGCATTTGCCAAGGCCGAGGAGGCCCTCCTCCCCTGGGACATGGGGCAGAGAGATGGGAGAAATGGCTTTAGGAGTCTGTTTTCCTTTCAGCCACTCGCCACTCCCCAGCCTCAGCTATCTCCTCACCACCCAGCCTGACAAACAGGGGCCTGTGAAGAACAAAATCCTGGTCAGAGCAGCTGAACAGCTGCCAAGTGCACTCAGCTTTGCAATGCGAGGGGTTCCACTCCTCTAAGGATTCAGATTGGAAAATCCCAACAGGGAAGAGGAGGTGGCCCAGCGACTCCCGGTCGCCATGTCGAATGGGGCAGTGCAAGCTCCACTTCCGCCAGAGAGGCTTCCTGGCTGTCTGAGCACTTGCAAAGCAGCACACGATAGGGTGTAGTTGGGGGGAAATTTCCCAAATCTAGAATTTTAATTTCCTGACTATGAGTACACTTTCTGCTGCTCTGACTACACTGGAGCACAAAGAATGTCTAAGCAGCAGGTCCCACTTCTGAGTGACAGCATCCATGTTACCCATTCGCTGCTGCCTCTGGTGACCAAGATGAGAAATGGCTGGATGTTACTAGGAAGTTTTGACTATCAAACATAAGTGCAAAAGTTTTTGAGACACCTTCTCAATCCACTCTCTGCATTCACAGTGAGACAGAGCAGGGAAATGGGACGAGGGTTATGGCACTGTAAAATATACTCAGCCTGAAAAAAAAGCCCACTTGATACTTAACTTTATCTACATGCTGTTCTGCTTCTTCCAGCCCTCCAATCACTTGAGGAACCTTGTAACCAGGACCTCCAAAGTGTAAGTGAACCTATGGGGATAAAAAATGCTGACATCTGTAGGAGGAGCCAAGATGGTGGCGTGAGTAGAGCAGCGGAAATCTCCTCCCAAAACCACATATATCTATAAAAATATAACAAAGACAACTCTTCTTAGAATAAAGACCAGAGGACACAGGACAATATCCAGACTACATACACACCTGTGAGAACCCAGCGCCTCG